AAAACTGCGACAACACGTCAATTGAAGGCCGCAACACTACTGCTGCTGTACTCCAATACTGTAGACTATACACATTTTTGAATTTCCCTCCACCACCGAAACGCGGGAAGGAGTACAGCACGACCTATTGTAATGTGTACGGCAGTGTGCGCTGGTGTTGTTGTAGGCTTTTCTTATTGTCAAGGCGTTGTCCTCACGGTGAACATCATGCCCGTGATATCGCGAACACACCTGAGACACATCAGTTTGTTGGAACTAGCTCTGATACGATACACGCAAGTTACCTGCCACATAGGGACCAAACAAACCCAGTCGACCCCTTAGAGGGATCTGAGGGACACTAGGAAACGGTCGGTAGCGCAGACCACAACATACAAAAAATCGGGCAAACCCACCGAAAAGAGAACACCGCTCTTCCCCAAAGGTCAACACGAGGCAAAAACACAAAACAAAAAATGCCAAAATTTAACTCCACGAGAAAGGCAAAAAAATTCCAAACAATGAATGTGGGCTGCCGAGTGTGTTGTCCTCAAACACCAAAAACTACGTCGCCCACACATCCCGAAGAGTCGCCTGCACCTCACCCCCCTCCTTCGTTCTTCGCTTGACTTGAGTTTCATGAGTGAACGAATGCACAGTCTTCGAAAGAAGGTACACCGTTTCGCTGTACTCGCCGTCTCTTCCGTTCGCGTACAAATAGGAGCGGACATCCTCGAGACGAGAGCGAACCTCGGCCTCTGAAATCGTAGATGTCATGCACGACTCTTGCCTACCGTCCTGGTCTTCCTCTTCACTGGACACGTCGTCTTCGACGTGTACTCTTGACATGTTCTCCGTTACCTCTTCCATCTCGAGTTCTACCTCTTCCCTCAAGACCTCTTCATCGTCCTCTACACTAAGCCACGTGCTCACTGCGCTCCGCACTTCTTGTTCAGTGAGGCCGGAGGTGCTCTCGACGAACAAGTTGTCCGACAACACTCGCGGCATGGACCTAGCGTCCAAGTCCTTGGCACTCTCCGGCAAGGACATCTTCTTGACCACTTCCATGGGACTGCTGCTGCTGCCAGCCTGGTCTCCACCTTTGCTCTTCTGGCAATCCGAGCACTCTCTTTGCTGTCCGTAGCCTTCCTCTCCGATGCCCCGACCACAAAATGCGTGCATGGATCGCCCGCACGGGCACTGGTGAATCGCTGACACGAGTTGAGACTTTTGCTGGCACGTGGGTTCGCCACATGGCCTCAAGCCGGCAGCTGACGACCCGCCAGCAGATGGGAGGAATCTCTCCATACCCACACGCAGTAGTGCGGGCTGCAGCAGACCGCTGTCGATGTTACAATGCCTTACAGATTTGCTGCCCCAGCAAATTTTTTTTGGGGGGCTGCATAGTGGAAACGCTACCCCCCTATATTATTGTACATCTGCGGGGCACCATGTTCTGGGGAAAAAATGTGTCTTTATAGCGGGGAGTTTCCTTCAGAAGAGTGTCTTTAAAGCGGGGACGACTGTACCGGAAACGCCCTGTTTGCAGGCGCATCGCATGACGGAGAGTTTTATTTTTTTTTACTTTTTATCGGCGCAAAACCGGAAAAACTTGAATTGTTTTCGCAGGGGTGTGTTCTTTGCCGATTCGAAAAAACTCAACGGATTCGAACAGATATGTCGGGATTTGCCAGGTCGGCATTTTTTTTTCGGTCAAAATATTGTAAATTCACGGAGATGTCAGAGAAAAACCGGATCTAGAGGGCTAACTTGTGTTGTTTTTCGGGGGATAACTAACCGAGCGATTTCAAAATGAACAGCGGCAAACGATTCCTCTCCTCAATATCTAGGTCGGTACTTACTTGTGCCTGGTTTCCGAGATATTCAACTTTTTGTTGTGCCGTCCCCATCCATGGGAGATTTTTTTCGTTGGGCAAGACGAACACCATACAACACGCACACGTGGCGGATCTCCAGGCGCTGGCGGTGCGCTCTCGGGTGGCCATGATGGCGCGATTTTGATGGACGTGGACGAGGAGGAAGGTACGGCGGCAGCAGACGCGCAAAACACAAGCGGAAAAGGACGCCGCGGCGGCGCAGGCGTTGGCGGCTTCGCAGGAATGNCTTCTCCGTCAGGAGGGCGAAAAGGACATTCAAGAAGTGGAAGCAGGAAAAGGACAAGAAGCGGGCCATGGAGCAGGAGGGAGAGGAAAAAGAGGCCGAGAACGATGCGTAGTGATG